TAGGTTATAAAATGAAAGAGTGAAGTGAACTGAGTGAATCGATTTAAATTAGAGTGCAGTATGATAGCTTTGTAATAGTCAAATGCTGTAAATTGCATTCTGAATGACATTTTCACCAATCAATATTCCCCATGAAATGATGATGCTCACCGCCGAACATATCCCCGCGATTTCGATTGACAATTTGGTTACTCTTTTGTTATTATTATTATTATTGTTGTTATTAAAACAACACCTTTTGCTTATAAATCTCTTTACGTGTTCATTTACCTTTTGCATTAACTTGCATTGATTGAATTTCAGTTTAGACTTAAATTTATTCCAGCTGAAGTGCAATTGGAAACACTTTAAACTTGTAGATGGGTTAAATGCTCTTTAATATGATCGCAATTCATTAAAAGTAGCTAATGTATTTGTAATTGCCATTATTACCATTTATTATGCTCTCATATGCGAACCCACCAATAATTTGTACCACAGTCAAAACAAACATTGTCGGAAATGATTATGGACAGTTGGTGTGATTGTACTAAAAAGAGTGAATTCACTGAGAACACGAAAAGTATTCTCTCTTGAACCAATTGTATTCATCAAGGGATGAATGACTGTCTGAAGCAATATTATCCAAAATATCTGTATGAATCAATGATGTTAACTGATGACGAAGACAACTCTCTCGAAAAGATTCAGAAAAGCGGGAAACTGATGATGACAAGTTACTCAAAGGATTGTTCAGTCATATGATGGTAGTGTGTTGTGGGAACGGGAAAAAATTGAGGGCGAAATTTTGCGGTCAAGGGCCCCGAAAATGTGGCCGACTCGAAAAAATTCGGGAACAGGGATGAGGATTCGGGAACGGGATCCCCGAAAATCCCGACCCTCGCAACACACTATGCGACAGTCAGTTCTTCACTCAACGAACGCAAGAAGACTTTGCGAAAAATGGTATAGAAGAACAAAAAACTGAAATATGTTCTGTGTTTGCTAATAAAAAGATGAATTAACGTGATTTCGAAGAATAGATTGTTTCAGACGCATAAGTTATTGATCATGCATACTTGGATGATCAGGGGAGACTAAACAATGGGAATGAATCACACATGGATCTTATTCACGTTCAGCCGCCTCAGCAACATGCTAGGCCTGGTCGAGATTCACAAAGGCCGACTTAAGAAATGTGTCCCGTTATCCAATCGAACCCAAAAGTGTTTGGAATTAAGAGGATAAAATGTATTATCACTTCAAACAATGAATTTCTCCAATATTCAGGTTAAAATTTTATTGAGCAACGTAAAAGAGGATAATCGACGAGTGTTGATACTCGATATACGTCCGATTGAACAATTTCGAAAGCAACATATCATTGATGGTGAGTGAATGGCAACTTATTTGAAAAAATAATTTTAATACTAACATTGAACCAGTACCGCCGTCAGTTACTAGTAGTCCACGTGAATAAAACCACTCACTCTGAACTTGTTCATACCAAAACATGTATTATTCGTTTCCGAATGTTTTCGTTCTTAATGAAGTGGTCATAACCAGAGTGAAATGTGGCGATGTATTATACTTCGGCTGATTCTCTCATATTAAATAAAACGATGGTTCTTCGGTATGAGCCTCAATCTGAGCTTAAAACGAAATCTAATCCACCGCAATACTCCACTCTGATTATGGCCATTCCTTACACTTAGGCTGCTTCCAACTGATCATATTCAAAACTGTACTTGTCTCCAACATATTACATATTTGCTGAACACATACGTGTGAGGTCTGTTCATCTTTACTAAGAATATTTGTACAATTGTTAACAAATAATACTTTATAATAGCTAGACCACATGTTGACCCTCTCGCACCAAAATGCGATCATTTAGGAAAGAATTGAAACGATGAATAAGATATGATTACATGAGCTAAATAAAACTGTAGCAACAATCAAAATGATGACGATAACAGTAAACACTTATTTCAGCAGAATATTATGATAAAACCTCTCTCAGTAGGCCATCTTACGAGAATCCTTCAATGAAAATCGCCAAAAGTAACCAGCTGACAGTTATTGTTTGTGGTGAGGCTTATGGTGGAGCTGACGTGGTTTCCACTCTTCGACAACGAGGATATAACGCCGTCCTGCTCAGAAGTGGTATATTGTCTATTGATATAATCACTCTGGGCAATAGCGCGCCATTCGCTAGTCCACTATTAGCGCAGCTACTTTTCTCTGTGGCGCGATAGCTCGCTCTTTTTTCCTACAGCAGAAATTTGTAACGATAACTTCAGCTACTAAGATTTTTAGCGGCAGAAAATAGCAATAACTTGTGTTATTCTCTTTCAATAGCGCTTTAACGAGCTACTTTCTTCAGACTTCCACTAACATGCTACTTTTTGCCTGTAAGGGAATTCTTATTTGTCCCAACATCGAGATATTCAGTACTTACGTGACATCCATATTTTTGTGGATGAGTGGGTGTTCGTGGGTCAGATTTTCTTATAACTTATCATTTGGTTTAATTTACATTAGTTGGCCAAAGCTCAAGCCGGCAGGCCATACAGAAATAGTTTCGAGTCACTGAACCGGAAGCCTGATCCGAATTACCAAAATACGGTTCAAGCATTTGCTAATGTTACGAGGCAGAATATGTTTATATCATCTTGTTTAAACATGAACATGTTTACAGCCAACTGATTTCGAATCTGTTCTCTGATTTTCCAAAACACTTTTGACCATGAGTTCCGGTGGAAGAAGAACAAAAATCGAGTGAAAATACCCCTGCACATACCTCTTCCTCCTATAATTTTGGTATGCGCCTAATTTTAGTAAGTATAATAAATTTTGCTAGGAATAGAATAATCCTGGAACATACTTAAACATGTGTAATTCGTTCATAATCCCAGTCAGTCCCACAAAACATCAATAATATTATGAGCTCCATATTCAAACCGCAACGACCCTCATTCTTGCCATCAACATAATGTTTTTTGGTACCAGCGGATAGAAGAGGTTCTTCACCATCAGAAAACTTTATGTGATGTTAAGGAATGTTGCTCACCTTTAATGACGGACTGATTTATTTATCGGTAGGATGGTAAGATGTGATAGCTTAATTAAACTAGGTGATTTTTCCAGGTTTTTCAAACCAAATTCTCGGTTTCTGATTCAAGAAATCTTTAAGGACATTCACAGGAGATTAATCATTTTTGCAGTATTCAATTGATTACACTGGTACGTTGATTGAACCCCGTCACCTCTTATCAGAATGCACCTCTTAAGTGGAGGATTTTTGAATTTTATTACATGAATAGTGAAGGTGATATTTTCATCAACAATAGGAAGGAGATGTGTGTGGGTAAGAAGTTCCTGAATAGGCGAGGAGTTCGATTATCGCACTATTAACTCTTAACAATTTTAATTGTTGGCTACGGTACTCATTCTAACTACTGTAATTTACTCTTAAATTAACTTTCTTCCTCACAAATGTCCTCACAAGAAAAGAAGCATATAATGATAAATAAGTCACTAACTAGAGTTACCGCTAGCCTCATCGGAATCATCTTGTGGGCACGGCAAGGTAGCTCTTCATTCGGTTATCATTTCATTATCGTAATTTTTTGATAAGCGGATTGATTCCATTCGAATAAAATTTGGCATTTCCAATGAACTTCGAAAAGATTTTGCAAAATTCCTCCAAGACAAATCAGCGGGGATTTGAAATTAGTGAATAATCGACTAATATTGTTAAGTAGCATCTCAACGGAAACTGCCACTATTTTTTTTAGTTAGCGACACCCTCAGTTGAAATTTTCGTTACTTTTCCACTAGCAGCGCTACTAGCGGATCACTTTGAGGGGGACAAAAATATTTTTTCAAGTGAATTAGTGATTAATAGAGCTACTTTTTTCAGTAGCATGTTCATCACTAGATATGATATTTACATGATAACTGGCATAGATCATCATTTCTTATTTGATTTTCGTGCAGATGTCGAATTCTGGAGGAAGAAGTATGCTACTGGTCTTTTGGCCAGTTCAGAATCGACGAAAGTGCTCGATATGACCGCGTTGAAAAGTCAACATGCCGAAAATACTAGGCCTACAATTGAAAAACGTAATGCAAATTGAAATCTTGTGGATTTTTTCTCAATCATTTGCGGAGGAACTTATCGAAAATTTTCAAATTTCTTGAACTTACGAATGAAACCTTTCAATTTTGAGGACATTTTCTGCGCGACACATCATGTTCACGAAATCGCACAGTATCTCGCGATGAACAACTCTCTAAACAACAACAGAAAGCGATTCGACGTCCATGGAGATAGCTAGGGTGGACGAACGTCAACTTCATCGTTAAGATGGCAGTGATTATCACCAACACTGATCAACGCCATGGTGAACTAACTTGTCAACAACAAGCGTTATTCACATCACTTCGACTAGCACTCATGCCACTATTGCAGTCCATGTTCCGCTTTGCAGTGCGCTCCACTTTAAGATGTCCTCAGCCTTCGGCTACTCTCCCAATTCTAGGCGATTAACCATCAAGTAAACTAGGAGCGAAATAAATTTAATCCCGTTGGCCTGAATAAAACAATTCTTCATCATAACTTGCATTCACTCAGTATGTTTCAAACCAGTTAAACTTTCTCAAATTTCCACTCGAACAAAAACTAAGTTTTCATATCAACCAATAATTCTTCTCGTCCATTCGGAAGGTTGTATCAAAAGATCCAATAAGATATACTGCTATCATTACAATATTGTAACACACCAATGCAGTTATCAGGTTATTGTTTATAACTATCATCACATTGTTGGCACAGCAAAAGAACAGCTAAAGCAGACAATAATAACACGAACATTACAGTGAACATTACCAGCACAATTTATTCATAACACATGAATAAAGCTACCCAATATTGTCCCCTATAAACACATGCTTTTAGAACAATGACCAAATGAATTTCAGTTAATCATAAACAACTAATTTATTACTCGAGTGAATTAAATCAAAATATCGAAATCTCGTAATTCTTCTTCGGATGGCAAAGTTGCAGCCACTTTGTCGGCCCTTACAAGATCTTTACTAATGTACGGTAGACCAGCTTTTTCACGACGTGCCATCTCGAGATGTGCCTCACGCAACGCCCATTCACGTCCATTTGGCCTGAAGAGAAGGACAATTGTTTAAAGCCGGATGAAAAAACTTGTTGCTTAGAAACAATTCTAGTTCTAAGAGATGAAAAATCTGTTCTAGAATTTCAACAGATTTTCTAGAACAGATTTTAGAACAAATAATTATGAGGAAAAAGGAACGCAAAAATCAAAAACTGTAGCTCATTCCTACTGGCAAGAAGAGTTTTAGTTAAAAAACGAAAAGATGATGTTATTGATAGAACCAAGCCATTAATCATACTTCATGTGAAAACATTCGAAACTTCAAAACGAACCAATCAGGCTTAGCAAAAACAATCCAACATGTGAACCACGTGGTCAAAACAGTGAACAGAACGAATGCAATTTGATGGAATCGTAACCAATCTTTGTGCTCATCGTACGCTATCTGACTAAACCAAATCCACTCACGACGCTTAAAATGAATGGTTCAGTTGAATATCTACAATAATTTCTGAAAACAAGAGAAACATTTGTTAAACAATATTTATATCTAACCGTCACTTAACGTAATTCAAAACTCAGTTATTTACTTTCTTATATTTATTACAATAATTCTTAGACATTTCTTACACGTTTTGAGAATGGATTTTCGCACTAAGAAATGACGCAGCAAACAATCAAATTTGAGGCTTTATATTTGAACAGGATTTATTATGTTGCGAAGTTTCCTACACTCCATCGTGTCGGAAATTAGGAATACGAACCAAAATGAATGAGAGAGAGAATAGTAATCAAAACTTTCGTTTGACAACAATGTTAACAAGTGACGAACCTACCATTTTAGCGCCTTGGTCTTTTGCTAAAGGCCTGCGCCAACCATCACCGAAGAGCCAATCCAGTCGACCACCATTCAACTTTGGCCACGGGTTATCGTAGGCGTACGAATCTGAACCAGGCCTGAAAGCTTTCGGGTACTCATATGACTTATCAGTCACAATAATACATGCATATATACACCAGATTAGTCAAAACGTCTTGAGATGCGTACTCAACTCAACCACCCTTATTCAAAATTTGCTGGCTCCACTCAGTAAATTCATCGCATCTATCAACTACACGAATATAGCAATTGGTGAGACTTCTGACAGCTGAGTTATAAAAATCTCTACTGTGGTCTTCAAAATGCTCGTCGATAGCCGACTGCATCTCACCATTTGAGTTGAAACGCTTGCCTCGCAATGCTTTTTTCAAATTTAAGAATAGACAGTATGGGTACTAGATCTGGCGGATATGACAGATGATTAATTTCCTCGAATCCACAATGTCCAATGGCGGCTGAAGCATTTTAAGATCAATAAACGGAAGTATCGTCATGCAAAATGCAAACACGAATGAACAACTTCGCTCTATTCTGTTTAATCAAGTCATGCAATCTGTGCATTAGTTCAACACAATTCAAACCAGCAGCCATTTTAAATTCTCGATAATAGAATCGATTTAACTTCTTTCCTATCCACATTCAGAATTCGAACTACCCATTTTCAGTGAGCTTGTTCACCTTCAAATAGTCATGCACGATGAAACTAACACTGTCATGCCACACCTTCAGTTATTCACCGATGGTTATATGCTAGTCCTCCGTAATCAAGTCCTCAACTTTTGGGACGTTTATCTTAGAAACTGACTCTGTCGGCCGACTCCATCTTCGAGTAACCTTTTACCCTGTCTGAACTCAGCTGCCCAACGACAAGCAGCAGCTTTCGATAGAGCACAGTTTTGTATGCTTTGATCAGCCGTTGATAAATCTCGTTCACTGCAGTCCCTTTCGAGACCAAAAATTTGATGAGCACTCATTCTTATTCATTTCTGTCCAATAGAACACCAAAAAAAAAATCATTTCTCGGCACTCATTCTTTTTCACTTCCAGTGATTGTCAAACAGGGAACAAAAAAGTCTCGAAACTTCTCAGCTGATTACCTATAATCATTTGATTTACGTTCCACTTGTACATCATCTCCGTGTTGATTGTGTGAAGCATTACTGCTTGATGCAGCCCAACGACGTGAAATATAACGCAGAACGGTCAAATTTCGTACCAAACACACATCACGATACATTACGGCACTCTTTCATTAACCGCGTACCTGCTTAGACCAGAAAGATTGTAAAACTAGCTATCAATCACCGTTAATACATCAATCATCAATAAGCAACGGTAAAATCAATAATAATCGTAAGAAGTTATTGTAAAATCAATAATAATCGTAAGAAGTTATTGTAAAATCAATAATATTATTATCATTCTTAGAAATGATGAAAAATTGGTCACCAAAAATAAAAGGCGAAGGCATGAAAGTACACTGGAAAAAAGTCAGTTAGAAGCTTTAAACTAATGAAGAACACGAAATCAGCAATTCATATAAAAATCATGAAGACTCTCCAGCATCCCATAGAGCGTATAAATTGAATTCAACTGCAATTTTTAAACTACCCATCACACTCTTCAAAGTTTCTTCAGTCAAATTTCTCAGAGATCCGCTTCGAACTAAACCGATTCCAGAATGATTTTTAAAAAATTGAAAAGTTCAACTTTTGTTTTTCTCCCTCAGAAGTAAACAGCGACCGGACGATTGTGAAGGGTAGTTGACGGCGAGTTCTCAAAATCGAAGATGAGTCGAAAGTACTACGCATCAATAATCCTAATATATGTCGTTACTAACAGCGGAAGAAAATCTCGTTTTTCCGGCAGAACAGTACTATTAATCTCAATTCCGAGATTGCACGTCCGCAGCTCTGGGTTATTGAATTACAACACGATTTACTTCATCATCCGACGGAGATTATCAATTGTGAAAAGTGAAAATTGTTCAGGTTTACGGATATATCTGAGCATCGTCCGCTCCAACTAGGCATTCAAATTTATTCTTAGACTCAGGCTTATGTTAAGGCTAAGTTCACCCGCACACTTTCGGGAGACGAAAATAGACATTCTGTTTCACTCGTACGAGTTTTACTGGTTGCCATTTAGTTAGGTGTCTAGCACAATCGCAACCTGGACATTTACAACTCGGATGATTGCATCCCGACTGTCTGTTCGCCACAATTCGTTTCGGTTCGCTATTATGGCGAACAGACAGTCGGGAAGTAACCATTCCAGTCGTAAATGTCCAGGTTGCAATTATCCGTTACCATTAGCTAAACGATGATCAGTCGTTTCGGTCAACAAATCGTCGCTTCAATTTGCACACTAGCATTCCGCACACCAACTGATTTCGTACGGAACAACTCTAGCTCGGGATTTCTCAACCGGGAGTGCACGTACCCCCTGGGGGATGGGGGNGAGGTGGCGTGCCATGGAGTGCGAGAGAGGATGTGTGAGAGTGGGTGTGATGAGAGGGGTACGGGAGGGGGTATAAGATAAGGTTTTAGTGTAAAGCAGGCGAGGATGGACTTCAACGTATAATTTTTGAAAGGGTTAGAATGTACTCTAAAGTTGTACACTACAGACACTGTAGTGGATGAGATATACAGAGTGGGTATTGAGAGGGCCGCGGGGACACTTTAAGTATTGTTGAAAGGGGTGCGAGGAGAACTTAAAATTTTTTAGAGAGTGCGAAGGGGAAAGAAGAACCTATGATCTGGATCCATTCATGCGCAACATGGAAAAACCAACAAAAAATCGTCATTTTCGAGTGCAGTTGGCAACGCGTCTCAAAGCGCACTACCGTTTAGATTGCACTTTGCAAATGAAAAGTTAAAAGTCTGGAAAATACTGAAACTCAACGGTATGAGTCGGACTCGGACAGCCGAATATTCAAAAACTGCTCGAGGTAATTCGCAATATGAACACTCGGTATTTTCACACGGCTGAGGTTGAGGTTTATTCGATCTTCGGTTGAGGCTTGCTCTGGGCTCACGTTAACGGTTCCTCTGAGCTCAGGCTGAGAACAGCCTCCATCAAGTCTGCCGTATGAGACATGTCCACGTTTAGATTCAGCCCTGCTCTTAAGTTCACGCTTCTGTCTATGTTTAGACTTTAGGCACAAAGCGACTAAAATGTGCTCATTAGTCGTACGTTACAGGATTATTCAGTGAAGTTGATATTCAGGAATGAACGCAAAAGTGATCCCATAAGGCTTTTCCCAAAATCCTGAGTTTTCCAAATATAAGTCAGTGATGGGCACGAAAATTTATTTCATCACAAAAATTGACCAAAAGTAGACGGGAAGTTTCACTCAACTTGTTCTTATCTAATCTAACCATATAAAACAGGGACAAATCCAACCAAAGTAAACCAACACTTCAGACATTCGACCGTGCGATTCGGTCATCTATGTCGTTCCTATCATTTCGTTTTATCGGTAATAATACATATTTCGACTACCTCATTAATCAAATTCATTCGGCAGTCGTCAAAGCTATTGCGTTCTTGAACAGTTATATTATTTAACTGCATTTTATTCTCTTAACACATACGACTGATATATTTATGAGCGTAAACTTTAACCATTAATCACCGTTTCTTTGATTAGATTGCAAAATTGTATTTGCCGTTAGAAAAAGTGATCTTGAGCAAGGTACGATGAATGAATGTAATGGAAATATCAGGAATCCAACTCTCATTACGAATTGAATTATGAGAAGTGGCGATGAGCATAGCAATATATGATGCGAAATGTATGCTAAAGCTTAGACTCTTACCAGAGCTGAAAACTCCCGTTATGATGCCAGCCTAAGCCTAAACCCTAATGCAATCGAACGCGATAACATCCTCTGATCATCGCCGTTTAATCATGACTGTTATTGGTGAATAGTAAAACTATTATAGAATTGTATTCTTATCGTAGTTGATAATGTTTTAGATCATTCATTAATTACCGTGTTTGAGAAGCTGATACAATGATGCGTAATCTTTTATCAGAAGCACACTCCACAATATCGTTCATCCTTGTGAATTGTGTACGTATTCATGAGTTAAATCACTGCCCCCCATTATTACTTATTCAACAAAGAACTGCAATCCTCGTCTGTCTACACATAGCATCAACAAACATGAATTGAGTTGATGGAAACTCGGAAATGTCGATGTGATCCATGGTGAGCTCGCTGGAACTGAGCAAGGCAATTATGAATAGAGCTGTGAAATGTCACGTAGAAGACTCCTCGTATCGGTTGCAGAAATTCCAGTTGCTGATAGATGAGCTAGTGAAACGAAATTGAAGGTCGGAAAATTTTAGAAATGGACAGAGACTGGTTCATTTGAAAACATTTTTTTTGTTATTAGGAACTGTCCAATATAAAAAGCAACCACGACATCAAGAACAAACACCATGTTCCTACTATCATCTGAAAACATTATACATAAACAGCAGCGCATAGTCCTTTCTTCACTCTCTCAGACAAATCTAACGGATTGAAGAGTTGCATGCTCAGAAGTATGAACATTGTTGACTTTTGCTAACGAAAAGTTGTAAGATTAACAACTAGTATTGTATCGAGTATGTTATCACGAAATCGTCATTACTTTGAGCACAGTATTACGGCGGAGAGCACTGTCAGTTTTCTGCTAACTGATCAACTTCGAAGCGTTCTTCATTTATACGAGATATCCGCTGAACCGCCATCGCTAAAACATCCTCATCGTCACAAAAAATGAAGCAAAACTATCTATAAGATGATCCTAAATAATTAATTATCGTTGACAGGCATGAAATTTATCCGAATATCGACAAATACAGTGCTGCAATATATCTTGACAATGTGCCATTTTCAGATCGTCGCATTCGATTTTCAAGATGCGCTTCTGCCTTGAGTTGAATCGCCGTTAACGGCAGGCGGCCGAATCCCTAAAAAGTTCGCCTATTTTGATATTAACAAGACTAACGTAATTATTATCAGTAACATTGTCACACTTCATTGCGGTACAGTTTTCTCTTCGAGTTTATAGGTACAGATTACTGTTAGTATAATGTAGGTTCATTTTACTTACGAATACAAATAAAAATTCTTATGTAAATAAAACACATCTATATGCAATATCAAGTGTATGCATATAAATATCGAACAAGTGGGTATTTGAATTTTATTGAAGGATATGATTACAAGCGAATGAAACCTGTATGCTACGCTTGGAGTTATGAGTGAAGCGAAATACAACTGCGGGAGAGATGAGTTTCGAGAAGAATGTGTGGGTATGCATCTATCTATGAAAAAAGCTAACGAACAATTGATTGGATGAGTAAATAAAATGAAAAAAAGATTCCAGTAGCAGCAGCTAAAGTAGAAGTGAACCTTGAACAAATTTAACTCTTCATCACATCAACATTGCTACTCGCTCGTCTTGATATTCTCTATTTCAGTTTATTACATTCATATCCGCTGTCCTGTCCTGTTCTATCCTCTCCAATCATATCACATAATTTTCGTATTTAATGCCAACTAGTGATCAATTCAATAACAACTGTTGATGATGATGCGTTAAGTGTTTTGTACAGCTACAGGTAAAAATTCATGGTACTTTTTGATAACTTTTTTGGCTATTTTCAGATGACGGCTATAATTCATGCAATCCTTGAAAAGTTGCGTCTCAAGCTTTAGATATTTAACAAATGAAGTTAAACAACTTACTCAGAGACTTGGAGGATTTCAATTCATGTAATTATATCGCTTAAATGTCGCTGATCACTCGAAAAAAACATTGCTTAACGAACGATGGTTGATCGCTGAAATTTGCAAGAAGAGATGATGTTGCAGCGATGTTGTGATGGACAGTGAATCATCGTCTCATTACGGACCGATTTATTCCGTAGACAGATTATCGAGAGAGCAATCGAACTGAACAATCGAGTCTCATATGCGACATCCACAGACACCTACACATTCACCCCTACATAAAGCTAACTGCCATTCATCTTTATCATCCAGTGATCACTTTCTATTATTCTTAACGTAACTGTAATTGTTCATCATTTTATTCATCGCTATCATTGAATGTATCAAACAACTCTTCAACAATACCAAAATAACAAAGTTTAAGGTAGCTCTTATGAAATGTCTTCATCAACTCCATCCGATGATCAGTATGCGACACCAAAGTATCGAACACACTCACTGAACCACCGTTTACGATATTATCGTAACCCTGTCAATAATTCAACTACGAACAATAATGGCTCGCTATGTTCAATAATGCATGGTCAGAGTAACAGTAAAAATAATAAGAATAATTACTATGACAAAACTTCTATCAGTAATAATAACGAAAGCATTGCTGTATCATCCAGGAACCGCAACTCATCCACAAGGCATATCACATTTGATCTCGACAAAACAAGTGCTGAAAGCAGTGGCGCACTAAGTGAGTTTACCTCATCTTTTAACAGCTTCTCTTACACATTACCAATATCGTTCTTGACATTATCACCAATATCATTGCTAATAATAATATCAGTCCAAATGTTTGGAGCTGGAGCGACGAATGGTGCCTAATGAAAGCTAAACTTCTCATCTGTTATATTAAGGATCAAAACCAATTTTGAATGCGACCAAATCACGTTTCCCGATCAGGTTTGCTCATTCTGAAATGCCGAAAGTGAAGGATTTCTGGGAGTCGAATATACGGCATAATGAACGATTACTTGTAAGTTGCTGAAGTATTAATCGAAACTATCATTCTTCCAGTTATTCTTATCACTTATCTATTTTTGTCACATCCATTGAGTCCAAAGAGTTCGTTTCGATTCGTTGCATCATGTAGTTTTCAGTCCATTTTAAAAGAATCGACTCTAGATCGCTCACCAGCTGATTAATTAAGCACCCCTTACTCATTCACGGCCGTCAACTCATTTTTCCATTCACCTAGTACGCATCATTCCATTCATAAGCACGTCAACCCATCTTCCCACACGTTCGTTACCCATTCTTCCGCACTCATAATCCGCCAATCCCTCCTCTGAACCAATAACCGTGCGTCCACTGATACACGGTTAATCTGTCCTGCCACCCGCTCATTGTGCAGTCATCAGTTCACCTACCAATTATTTATCATTGAGCAGTCCGTTATCTGTTATTAACCCATCCTTTCACTACCCACTAACCCGTTCACATGACCAAAGAATTAAATAAAAACAGTTTGGCATCAACAATACAATACAAAAAGAAAATATAAGCTGTTCGTAGAACTGAAAACGCTTTTTTTGTTGGAATGAAACAATAAAGTATTCGAATGAAAACGATGATGAAAGTGATACGAAAACAAACGAAAAAATGTACTCGAAAAAGCCCGGATACTAGCGAACAGTAAAATGGTACGACAGAGCTGATAAAAAAGGTGTAGCAATAATAGTTGTCGAAATTGTTGTCGACAAATAGGTTGCCGTTGTCGAAATTGGGACTTGGGAAATTGGGAAAATTGGGAAAAACAGCAAATAGGTTGTCGAAATTGGGACTTGGGAAATTGGGAAAAACAGCAAAGAGGTTGTCGAAATTGGGAATGAATGCGCACATACTGAATTCAATTATACGGGAGATATTGATTTCAATCGTACGGATAACGTATATGAATTATTTACCGTTCTAATTTCCCGCAAATAATGATTGGCCGGTCACGCAACTACAGCGCATAACCGCTGGCTCAGTAAATGAGCACTACTGTTTCATTAACAACAGTGGTATTTCCTCCGTGAACGCGAATCGATTTACCAGATTTCGGTTGGATGCCCTACCTCTGAGCCATTACGCAAACTGTTCAGTCTCCATCGAAAGGCTGTCTTGAGTTTTCTCCAGCGCAGTATTGATTTGAAGAGAGCCAAACTCTACTATCAAAGCAAACTGATCAGTTCGCTGTAACGATTTGACCACTCATAATATTAGTTTCACATTAGGAGCGCTAAAGCACTCAACAAAACCATTCGCTGGAGACTGAACGATCTCCGCAATAGCTTAGAAGTAGAGCATCCAACCTGAAATCTGTACATCGCAGGTTCGATTCTCGCTGGCGTGGGAAAGCTTCGCTCGAAACCGGATGTTGTACCGATGCCATTACTAACGATAAATATGTACCAATGTAAGCAACAGGTGAGACAAAAAGGGAGCGGACAATCACCCAAGCAAGCGAACGGATTCGTAGACAGATTACATGTAACATTTGCTGACGGATTCAATGATTATCAAAAAGTAGGGTGAATTTTTGGGCAGGAAATTCCGAAAAATAAGATGGCAGGAGAGCCCGTAAAACGATGCCCCGATCAGGGGTTTCACCGGGGAGGACTGGAGGATCCCCCGCTCTTCTTCTCTTCTGTTTCTAACCCTACTTGATACAAATAAAGAAGAACAATAAGTGCTGAACGATTGAAGATGAACGCAATTTACGTGGGAAAAATTGTGCGCTGTTCAGGATAAAAAGTTGACAAGTAGCGAAAAGATCGATAAGAAATTCGGTTTTCCGAGATGGCGATCGAATGATGCACTGACAGCGTCCTTAACGGCTTCAAACGGAAACGTACCGATCCCACCAGACAGTACCATACCCGAACATCGATTACTCAAACGACAACAAGCTGAGCAAACGGCTGCACAACAGATCAAGGTTGTACCACTTTGATTCATCTCATTACTTCATCTCCACTTTCATTCATTCATCGCAGGTTTTCCTCTTCCTTTCAGCAGTGATTACATTTCAGCATTTAAAAATTTCACCACTTTTCAATTAGATTTAACCAAAAATACAAAAAGAACCAAAAATTTTCTGATCGAAGAGAGAAGGTTACACAATCAATTCAGACAGCCACAATTATTTGAGGGTGTGAATGGTAGGTACTGCACACTTCCCTACTCAAAATATATGGCAGAATTATAACGATCATTACAAGGTATTAAGCATGGTCCACATTGTCTACTATCACATTTTAACTGATGATATGCAAAACAAGCGGTTGGATAGACGCAGACATTGCTTGTTCATTGGAAACTTCGAACTTGAAAAATTTTTGGCCCTTTTTGAGTGCTTCGTTTTATTCGGCGTGAAATTTCTAGAGGAGAGATGGATATGTAATTGTAAAGACATTTGGAATGGACCCGTAGTTGTCTCTGGTATTTCACTTGTAGAGATCAGTGTATGGTGGACAAATCCATACGCTCTAAATTGAACGAATTGCTTGGGAAGAATTCATAGCATCCATAATAAAGAGAACATATTATCAGGAGTGTATATGATAATATGTTAAAATAGTTACGATCTAAAAGTAACAGAGTAATAATCTATTTCAGTTACGACTAGAAAAAGATCTAGCCAAGAAGTTACAAAAAGGTAAATCACTCGACTCACTGATTATTCAACTTGACTATCAACCGTGGTACGACGAAAATCAGATTCGACAAGCGATCAGTCGCGAATCAATTGCAGATTTTGATGCGACTCGAAAACGTTTCGAATATGGCCAACAAGCATACCTCCCTGAAATGACATCCCCATCGACAGTATCCGGTCGGCATAGTAAGTCAATCACTCAGTCAATTTGACACTTTACTCCCAGCCATGAAGGTATCTTTAAAAACGACTGCCACCTCGTGAAGGGCAATTTCCTTACGCTGATTCCCCAGTGAAGTGGAAGAGAGCAGATTTCTTTCAGAAGGGGGACAGACAGTCTATAGTTTGTTGTCTAAAAAGCCTTAAACGGCACAGCACAAGTGTCCGCCTCCATGTGTTCGCTAGTTACTTTGGTCCTGCCGAATTATTATTTGTAAAAAGGAGCCACAACTGAGAATGAATAATTGAAAAAAGGAATCAGATTTACACAAGAGAACAACTGCAGGATCGTTGGAAGATATGAATATGCGCAAGCATGCAAAACTTGTCAAAGAGTGTTCATGGGCCGACAGTGAATGCAGAGACTTCGAACCGAATGATGCGAATGAGAGCTATAGCAGTGAAAAGTCGACGATTATGTTTGATAATGAAACCGAAGTGATGGACGATCATGAATCGAATCAATACACCGACAAAGAGAACGATAAGAATGCTTCTGCTTCGGTGCATTACTTCACAGCCACTACTGTGATCATTTCTTCTCAATATGCATACAAACTTCCATGGCATATCTCTTCTCCTCGTGATACCTCTCCATTCGATAAGCAGAGATTCCATTACAATCAAAATTTAAAGCGAACATTCTTAGAGATTTAAATTCTAGCCAGCCAAGTCCAGCCGAAAATTTCCTTGCTTTCACAAACTTCAAACGAAAAGGGAGACACTGTACAGGGTGATATATGAGAACAGCAATTTGGCCCATTTGCAATTTATGACGTGTGCTATAAACTAATCGTCACACTCATCCAATCGTAATTAAATTCTGTGGGAAGAGAGCTCAAGATGGAATTCTCAATTCATCGAAATCACTTTTTGAAATTATTAAGCTTCAAAATGTACCTTTATGAAATTCAATAAAGATCTGAAGAGTCTGTTGGGCAGTCTAAGATAGGCAGTTTGAATTGCATTGAAACAAGTAATTGCATAAGTCAGAGGAGTTTTTTGCTTTTATGGTTTCGAGCGATGTAATAATAAGATAAGTTTCAGCCAGGGTCACGTGCCGCATTAGAAGCAAACTGTTTGACAACGACTGAACAGAAAGAATGGCGACCGAAAGAAATGAAGTGGCAGTCAAAGGAAGTCGTGAAACGATCATCGAATGATCAGCTCCTCGACTCAACAGCTACTCACTGTCCACCACAACCACTCATCAGCAAGAGATGCCAAATTCCTGCTCATAATCACAACAGTCTCGTCATTTCCCAAACAAATCCTCCGCATGCTCATCCCACTTCCACTTGCAGCTCGAATTTCAAATTTAACGCTGAACAGCAATTATTACTCATTTTCATCAAACAAAACGAACATCTCTTCAATGGTAAGCATCATCTCTAAACAAAACCTCACCTGAGCTGATATCACATGTCTAAGCGTGTGAGTTCGAATGCGCATTTCGACTGTAAAATTTGACTGTCAATTTCACCAGTTATCATCAGCAGAACCAAAATACTTCAGCTGTATTTAATAACGATATTATCATTGCATTTACTGTTACCATTTTGATGCTACTAAAATAATTATTATACTCACAGCAATTTACATCCAGAATTGTCTATTTGTATACCAAACGAGCTGAAATCGATGATCGAGGATATCTCGATAGCACCGTCAAATTTGGTTGAACTGAGATTAATAAAGAAGGATTCGAAGTTCCATAAAGATGAGACCAACAACAATGGTAGCAATTATAAAAATCGACAATGCCCTCCAACAAGTTGGAATCAAAAGGAAAAAAACTGCCTCGAGCACGACGACAACAAATTTGAAGATTGCTCCATTGAGACAATAAATAGCTCTCAAGTAATGGTGAGCCCCATTCACGCACTCATTTATGTACAGTTAAACACTGACCTACGTCGACAGCTGGGACCGACAGTTTCATCGTAGGTTGATGCGGTCGTAAGCCCGACTACAGTTGTGAATATGACCACCCTTTCTTTGCAAATATAAGTGAACATGTCTTGCCAGGAACTCTTCACAAATAATACGATGAAAGCTTAATTCAAGAATAGAATTCGTTTCAACAATTTGTTCCACTTTAATCAGTGGGAAACGAATCAATTCGTTCTAGCTGACTCAAATCTTTAAATGTAGAATTTTAGCGATGGTATTTTTTCCGATAAACCGTTTTAGAGTTAAAAAAACAAGAGAGCACGATACTTGATTGGAATCAGGGTCGCTTCCCTTACAATTAGTAATTTCCGAAAGAGCGCTTCAGAGGATTATCCCATAGTCTTCAGTATCTTCGAAAGTTTTCCATTACAAACTGGTTGTGATTTGCTGGTTTATTTTATCATCAAGACTCTTCTGATGAAACCCGGTGCTTATCAATTCTGGGATTACAAAACGAACTGATTACAAACGAAACGATGTCTCCACAAACACCCTTTCACGAACACAACGTTCTGCCATTAGAGGTGAACAACACCACTTCAATAAGAAAACATGTGGTGTCGAAATCCGATACTCTGAGGAATGCTGCGAACGCTACCAAGAAAATGCTATTATGAATTCTCTCATAAATTTGATTTTGCTTGGAAGTATCGTGGAAAATTCCTTAACTTAAATCAAAAGCGTTCGTGAAGTGAGCTGTGTTCATAAACTGAAACAAGTTTTTACAAAAAACTTCAGTCACGACTTGAAATGTCCATAAAGTGAGCTGCTATTTTAAAAACATTTGACGTTTTCATCTGTATTCGAATAATTTATGAGAAAATAATTTTAACGAGCCTTTCAGAGTCTCGAATAAGTTTCAACCTTGGATCCGAATTGCTAGAAAACATGAAGAAAAAAACCATATTTATGGATATCACTATGTTAACATCGCCCTCTAGCTCAGTTTGATTGGCTAATAAGTCGTTGGTATTATCTTAAAATAGTTCCGCTGAGGGAGATTCCCGTTTTTCACGGCTCGAAACAAAAAAGACTTTTGAAACAGCTGCCGCAAGTACGGCTCTTTGTAAGTCCAACGTCATAAGGCGCGATGATGTGCATGATTCACTGCAATTCTCATTTTCAGTTGAATCAACACCAACAACCACCTCTTACACGAATTTCCATTCCAATGCCAATATCCATACCAGTTGAAGAACAATCCAATACGACACAATTGCAGTCAACAACTAATAATAATACGACCAGACATTATCAAAAAAATACATCTGCGAATATCAACACTGCTAACGCACATTATCTTGCTATAAATCCTCAAAATTATTACCTTCCGACCGCACGACAACAAATACCTGAAAATAAACGAGCCGTCATGCAGGTGTTTCACAACTTATTTGAATTCACTTATTTTTATATTGCTAATAACATTTACTGATGATAGCATACAACAATGCTAGTCGATCGCCAGCTTGTAGAATAGCGCAATACTTCTGGTAGCAATATATCACAGTATGAAGCCTTAGGCCTCCAAATAAGCTTAAGCATAGACCCAAGCCTTCATCATATTTGAAGTGGGTGATCTCATAAGCGATATAGCGTTATGATGTGATATGGTGTTACGAGAAGTGCTGTATCATTCTGCACAACAGCTCAATAATAATACTAATGAAGAGTAGTAACAATAATTTCAGGAAGTCGATCGTCAAAAAGCAGGTGATTCACTAATTGCTGCGGAAATTCGTATGCTGCAACACCGAGAGGAAGAGTTGAAACAAAGTCACAGTGAGTTAGGCCTTCCAAATCTCGACGACATCACTCAGTTATGGCGAACAAGGTAAATATCTAGTAATACTGTACGTGCCGATCGATCTCTAAATCCTATCTCTCTCGTCAAACAGTGATGGATTCGAAGCGAGAATCCTTTAAGCTACTAGTGGCGCATTTTTCATTCGAGAACATATGTACTTACTCCCGTAATGGGTCAAGTCAAGCTTTATCGCAACATGATCCAGCTTTAGCTCACTGGTAGTTAAACGAACGCGTACTGTGATGGTCTAAATAGAGCAGTTTACAATAAATGTATTAACTGCAATAGGACTACTCTCTATTCAGATCTCTGTTTACAATCGCAAGGTAACTAACAACTGAATGCCATTGAACGAAATTTGCTCACGATCAATACCTAATAAATACCACATGAATAGCAATAAATCATAGAACGAAGGTGGAAATCATGCATAAAAAGTGCAATATTTGAAGTTGGTATCATGCAAACAAGGACGATCGACGTATTAATAAACTGGATGAAAACGCACGATCAAATTGTCGTTTACGTGCAGCATTGAGTTGCGATCATTTGAACAGCAACCAGTTGGCAGCAAGAGATACTTCTCACGAACTGCTGATGTCGATGAAGAATGCAGTACCTAGTGCACAACAAATTAACGTACTCATATGTTATTCATTTCCATCATTACTGCGCACTGTCATTTGCCATCATTTGAGTTGGATATGGGAAGAAGGCATTTTTCCCGGTACTGCTTCGCGTAACACAGACCGGG